AATAGCACTAGGTAGCAAAGCTGAGATATGCCTATCAGAAAAGAGAACAGGTATAGGTAGACCAAAAATAAAGTCATACAAACTAATGTTACCTTAATTTAATATGTGGTAGCAATTACGGAGCTAATGAAATCCTTCAAAGGACTAGAGTACATGTCTGGCAAGCATGAGGCTCAAAGTTTAATCCCCTGTACCAGAGACTGCTCTATCTCTTCCCACACCCAACAGCACCCGCAAGGCCCATTAGCACATCACATCCGCCTGAGTACCTAAAACTATCAAGCCTGCACTATAGGCTGGGCACCATCTGGTGATTCCAAGTCCACCAAATTCCACTGGAGAAGTTTACAAAAAGAAAAAAAAAAACCTTCAGCAATTAGAGTGTGCATCATTAAATTAGTTTATGAACCTTCTAAATAATTACAAAGAACAAGTCTGAAACTCATTTTATAGGAAGTAACCTAATTCTGAGAGGAATTTCATGAAAATCCCTGTGTTCTTTTGTAAGCTGTAAATTATATCTTGCCATGAATGTACATACAACACACACACACACACACACACAATATTTGGGATGGGTTTAGAGAGAATGGGCAAGGTCCTTTGTGATTACAGAAATAGCTTTTCACACATGTCCTCATTTAACCAGAACTTTTGAACTATAAGACATAAAAGAATGGTTTTCTAATGATATTTTTGTTTTTGTTTTTCATGGTCAAGGGCTTTTATTTAGGAAAAGTTCTTCTATCCCCATTTTATTGGGAGTTTTTGTCATGAATGGCTCTTTGATCTTGTCAAATGCTTTCTCTATGTCTATCAATATAAAATTTTAATTTTCCCCTTATTAACATGATTGTGTTATGTTGGCCAGAATGTATATTGCAAATCATCTTTGTCATCCCTGGGATGGGTCCTCTTAGTTATTGTGTATGATGTTTTGATGGATTTTGATGTGTTGTTGAATTTGGCTTGTTTTGAGGATCTATGTTTATCATGGATATAGGTCTTATAGTTTTCTTTGGTGATGTCTCTGTTTTCTATTCACTTCATAGAAGTGAAGTTTGTACCCTGTGGGAAGGGTACAAACTGGAAGGATTACTGTTTCTTTGATTTACATGAAGAGCCTGAGAAGGCCAATTGACATTTGTGAATGACGAGAAGAGAGTAAATCAGCATGTGCTGAGCTGTAGTTCTGTCCTCATTTCTGGATAGACCGAGCTGTTTCTTTGTTCTTCTCAGGCATCTCAGAGTTCCATCTCAGAGTTCTCTCATCTTCTCATGGTGTGGTTTCACCCCGGCATTTTCAAACTTGATCCCTGGAACCATTCTCTTATCAGTAACACCATGTAGTTGGACAGAAAAAGTCTCTCAGTTTCAACAGCAAAATTGAAACTCTTTCACTCACTAAAGCAGGCGGGTTGGGGGGAGGGGACGATTAAAACAAAAGCAACTGGATGTATCATTTCTATTTTTCATTGTGGTTTATTTTCAGATTCCCATGTGAAGTAGTGAGAGGGGCACAGAAGAACAGAGAAGAATAGAAATTAAATTGGTTCTTTCAGATTCAGATACTGATACTCTGCTAAGTCATTGGTGCACTTTAAAAATTCTGTCAAAGCTTTTACTTCTCTATCAATATAACTTATGAAATGATGTGTGCATTCAGATGCAGGGAAAATAAGATGAATAGGATAAGAACAAGTACTTTTTTTCAAACCAATGTTATTTACTGAGGTCCAGTTGATATATAATGGGTTGAGGATACTAAGGTATAAAATGTTAGGCTTTAATGTAATCTAAGAAGTCATCATTACAATCAACATAGTAAACTAACCTGCCATCCCAAAACGTTTCCACATGCCCTTTAAAAGTTTTTCTCTTTTGCTCCCCCTTTCATGTATACCACTACCTAGACAGCCATATACCTACGCTCTACAGTATTGATTATCCTGAGTTATTTTAAATTTCCACAAATGTAATTGTGAAACGTATGCTCTTCTTTTTATACCAATTTTTATGTATCTCCTTATTTTGATATACATAAAAGATTATTCATCCATGTCTTAGGCATCAATTGCATTATTTCATTTCATAGATATACTAGTTTCACATGTAAATTATATGAAATATCATAAAAATGTATAAGATATATAAATTTCATAATTTAGCCTATCACCCATGAAGGTCTGCGTGATAGTCCCAGGGGCTTCTTGAATAACTAAAGAGGTGGGTAGATAAGGAGTATGCATTTGCAAGTGTGTTTGTGTGTGTATGTGTGTGTGTTTAATTTTATACTGCCAAAGTGGTTTGTTAAAGTACTTATAATACTTTACATTATACCAAAATTTCTGAGATTTCCAATTGCTCAACTTCTTTGTGAGCTTTCTCTATGGTTTGTCTCTTCTCTTTTTTATCCATGCAAATAATTGTGTGACTTTATTCTATTGTGATTTTTATTTTTATGCAATTATAGAAAATGATAGGAGAATTCATATCTGAATTTGAAATGAATACATACTCTTAACTGAAAAATTAGTTCAAGCCTCTGGCTCACTCTTTTGTGATGTTTGTTTGATTAATAGTGAGTCTTAAAATTATGTATTGAGCACAAGTTTTTTATGATAAATATATTTGGATTCTAAGTTTTATTGGGGGACTAAATCATACCTGCCAAGGCTCAAGGCTTACTCCTAACTTGTGCTTGAGGGCACTCCTGGCAGTTTGCAGAGGAACTTGTCAGTGTCCAGGAACAAACTGGGGTCATCTACATGCAAGGCAAGCACTGTGATCTTTGTACTAAATATTTTTGTTAATAATTTCTTCAATGTTTGTATTTTATTCTGGTTCCTAATTGATTTTTTAATGGAATGAATAACACAATCACAACATTTTTAAGAATGCATTGAGTGGGAGTAAATATAAGTACTTTGTAAATTATAAACTCCTGGGCAAATATGCATTACTAATTATTCTTTATTGGACCTTCTTTGCCATAGTGAATTATTATCCTAAGAAAATGAATAAGTTAGGAATACTACTTTTAACCAGCCCAGGATTTAATATAACAATTTATGAATTTTCATACTCCATAAAAGATAATTGGGACAATTCTGCATTCTTAAATTTCTTCAATGATCAAAAAATTGAAACATATTCAGTCTTATTTCTTGCTTCAGCTTTAGGTAGAAATGTTACTTCCTTCTAAATTAATTTATGGCTTGTTTTTTATTTTATTTGGTTTCATTTGGCCTAATTCCTTTAAATTTTTCCATGGACCACATATTCATCAACCAAAAAAAAATTAAATTCATGTTTGTGACCACAGAGATAAAAGGTAAAGGTAAAGGTAAAGGCCCTCCCGTTGTTCATTGATTTGCTCGAGCGGGCCCAGTAACGTCTCCATTGGAGATTTTGTTGTTACTGTGCCTGGCATATCAAATACGTCACGGGGAGCTTGCCAGGCTCTGCCGTGCGGGCGAGATACTCTCGGTAGCTTGCCAGGCTCTCCGAGAGGGGCAGAGGAATCGAACTCGGGTCGGCCATGTTGGCTGCGTGCAAGGCAAACGCCCTACCGCTGTGCTATCGCTCCAGCCCACAGAGATAAATAACATTTTTTAAATTTTCCTTGAGTAAATTATGTTGAATCTTAACTCTGAGCCAAGTGATGGATCAACCTGTTGGCTAGGCATTAGAATTGTCCAAAGGCACACAAAGCTCTTTCTTCAGCTTAATTACACCTCATTCTTCATCCCAGTTATTTCTAAAAATAAAAAATTCCATGCATGATAGTCAAGACAAAATAAAAGAGAATCCAAAACAAAGATAAAACCTTTATCAAATAAAAATGTTCTCTATATACATAGAAGAAAACAAAGTGAAATAGACCCTAGAGTCATACAGACAGGCTGTGTTAGTTACTGGCTGTTGACTTTGAGGTCATTTAATTTAGCCTTGTGAAGTTCATGCCCAATTCAATCAGCTTAATCAATAGTTGAATAAATAGCAGTAACTTCTACATTAAGTATAAATATAAATAAAATATAAATAAAGGCCCTCCCGTTGATCGTCGATTTGCTCGAGCGGGCCCAGTAACGTCTCCATTGGAGACTTTGTTGTTACTGTGTCTGGCATATCGGATACTCTCGGTAGCTTGCCGGGCTCTCTGAGAGGGGCGGAGGAATCGAACTCGGGTCGGCCATGTTGGCCGCGTGTAAGGCGAACGCCCTACCCGCTGTGCAAAAATTATCCTTAAACTTTCATAGATACAGAATAAAGATCATTGGGGTCACCACCATCAGAGTTGTGGAGATGAAATTATATAATTTGAAAGCACTCAAAGTTCTGTCAAATAGTTAAAACTCACTAGTTCCTCAATTTTGAAAATGTGTTTTGCCTTGTAAGTGACCAACCTGAGTTCAATGTCCAGAACCCCATATGGTCCCACAAGCATGGAATGATACTTGAGCTCAGAATCAGGTCTAAACTCTGAGCACTGCAGGTGTGACCCCTACCCACCTCCAAAGTACTTTTTATTACGTACTCCCTTCTCAATTATTTACCATCTGCTCCAATTTTTCCTTTTCTATATAGGTATATGTGTGTTAATGAGTTATATACTATAAACCTTGGGGGTTTTGTTCCAGTCTGCACCTCAATGCAATTAAATTAATATACTCATAGTCTGTATTTGTATTTTCTTTGTTTTAGAAAGAAAAAAGACACTGAAAATTACCCTTTGTTAACCAAGTATTACAATAATTAATTGCACAGATCAGCAAACATGTGATTAAAACCTCAGAGTACCACAGTTGTTTTCGAAATTGAGCTCATCAACCCAGAGATATCTTCTGTTTGAGCTGGCTATCTGGAGAGAACACAGGACCATTATCTCCTTCACTGGGGTCATTTGAGTTATTCTGTTGGTCACAGAATCATTACCGTGAGGATCTTTAGGAATAACTCCAAGCAATAAAGCAAATTCCAGCACACACATTGAAACAATGGATAAAGAAAACCACTCAGTGGTGACTGAATTTATCTTTATGGGTATCACTCAAGACCCTCAGCTACAGATCATCTTCTTTGTGGTTTTCCTCCTGGTCTACCTGATCAACGTAGTGGGGAATGTTGGCATGATTATCCTGATCATAACAGACTCTCAGCTTCACACACCCATGTACTTTTTCCTCTGCAACCTCTCTTTTGTCGACCTGGGCTACTCCTCAGCCATTGCCCCCAGGATGCTGGCTGACTTCCTGACAACACGCAAAGTCATCTCTTTCTCCAGTTGTGCCACCCAGTTTGCTTTTTTTGTTGGTTTTGTGGATGCTGAGTGCTATGTCCTGGCTGCTATGGCCTATGATCGTTTTGTGGCCATCTGTCGACCCCTCCACTACAGCACGCTCATGTCCAAGCGTGTCTGCTGGGCTCTCATGTTGGGCTCGTACTTAGCTGGTCTGGTGAGTTTAGTAGCCCACACATCCCTTACCTTCAGTTTGAGTTACTGTGGTTCCAATATCATCAACCACTTCTTCTGCGAAATACCACCACTCTTGGCCCTCTCTTGCTCGGACACCTACATCAGCGAGATATTGCTCTTTAGCTTGTGTGGTTTCATCGAATTCAGCACAATCCTCATTATCTTCATCTCCTATGCATTTATTCTCGTTGCAATCATCCGCATGCGCTCAGCGGAAGGTCGCCTAAAGGCATTCTCCACCTGTGGGTCTCACCTGACTGGTGTCACCCTGTTCTATGGCACAGTTATGTTCATGTATCTCAGACCAACCTCCAGCTACTCCCTCGACCAAGACAAGTGGGCATCTGTGTTCTACACTATTATCATCCCCATGTTGAATCCTTTGATCTACAGTTTACGCAACAAGGATGTAAAAGGTGCATTTAAAAAACTCATTGGAAGAAAATCCTAATAATTATTTAAAGATGTTTATCTAGTATCATCACAGGTATATGACAGTGATAGAAGGATGGGACCAGGACATATCAAATGCAAGTAAATTTACAATAAATAGTACCTAGCTTACTCAGTGAACTTTAATTTATGTAGGGTGTTCTATAATCCTACAATATATGATCTGAAGGAAGCATAGATTAATATTTTAAAAAGAATATGCATTACATTTTTAGTTAAAATTGGCTTCTTGCCTCACTTAAAAACAGATAGAACTTGAAAGAGAAATTGACAATACTCTGAAGCATATTTTTTGGCTAGGGTCATAAGAAAAGAAAGCTCAGATGTTGAAATTTTCTCTAATCTGAAAGAAGTCAGAGGAAATTAAGTTAAATACATGAGGATTGGGGTTAGATACCAAATTAATAATTTCAAAATTTATTGTTCACATATTTAGGAATAAAAACAATGAACTCAAGGTACATGCCAGATTGTAACTGTACAAAACACTTAAGGTGCAAACTTGGTAACAGAAAGTTGATTTTTGTCTTGGTTACTTTGTTTTTTAAGTTAAAGCAGGTTTTATTTCTGTTTTGTGCATTAGAGAGAGAGAGAGAGAGAGAAGAGAGAGAGAGAGGACGTGCTCAAGAAAAAATGTGGGCTACTGCAGAGTGGAGAAGTATCTCCCAGTACACATCCCAACATTAGATATAGAAGTATGAAAGTCCACATCTCAAGAGGGGAGATGCAGGTGACACATATGCCCAGATAGCACATGTGCTCTGCAGCAACACATGGGCATAGTCAGCACATGGCTCAGGCATTATATGTGCTGCTTTGGCTACTGTTTTATTTCTCTAGAACTGCTGCCACCACCAACAAAACCAGGATCTATGTAAAGTCAAAGATTTAAGAAATGGAGGCAGGTCTCGGGGCTGGAGTGATAGCACAGCGGGTAGGGCGTTTGCCTTGCACGTGGCCAACCCAGTTCTATTCCAGCATCCCATATGGTCCCCTGAGCACCGCCAGGGGTGATTCCTGAGTGCAGAGCCAGGAGTAACCCCTGTGCATCGCCAGGTGTGACCCAAAAAGCCAAAAAAAAAAAAGAAAAGAAAAAGAAATGGAGGCAGGTCTGCTCCTAACAAAGCATATGAACATGGATGAAACCTTTTTTCGCCTGTAAGTTTCAGTCACTGAATTCCTTTGATTTCTCTGTCTACTCTTCAAAATGGTGAGCATCACAATTTGAGCATCAAGGATATGTTGATATTCTTGCAGTTTTGAAAAAAAAATACCCTCGATCCGTGAGAGCCTAAGAAACAGACAACAGAATCAATCTCTGTGATGATTAATAGGGCTATAATGACATTTTAACAGGATTAGTTGTTCTATGTTGTACTACCTCCCAAAATTCCCTGATGAAATTTTCCTTTCTCTTTTAATCAAGGATCCCCAGTCTTTTCCTTGGATGCCAAGGGTCTTCATTCATAATTTTTACTATAGTTTTTGTTCCTTCTTGAGGAATAGTTCTACTAGCCCTGGCATGATGTGGCTAATGAACAGAGGCTATAATTCCTTTCTGCATGTTATCCAGTCCACTATCATTTAATTGTGAACGAGATGTAGACCTGGAGAGAGAGGACACAGGCTAAAACTCTAGTCTTGAATGAAGTTGACCTTAGTATAACACCTGCTACTGCTAGGAACAATTCAAAGCACAGTCACAAGTACCTCTGTTGCACTGCTGGCTATGGCCCACTAACTAATTAATTATCTTTGAACTTTTTGTCTCAATTGCTAGAGATTTTCTTAATTTGCATTGGTTTTCATAATTCTACACGTACCTGAGATTATCAAGAATTTTTCTCTTCTGAATCATTTCACTTAGCATACTATCATCAAGTTTATCTCTGTATCACAAGTTCCTCTTTTTTTTCTCCACTTTAAATTGTGATCATACTCCACCTAGTCTATCAAAAATGTCTGATTAGTGAATATATGTATGTGTATATAAAACCTTTATATTTAAGTAAAAGTAAAGGATGCATTTTTGGTTGCTCAATAAATCTGAAGTTCAATAAATCTGAATTCAATGCTTGTTGTTATGCTCTAAAATAAGCAAGTGGAAAAAATAATTTTAGAAAAGTTTATCTCTAGATAAATACATATAATACAAGCTAAATTTTAATGTGACTAGTCTATTAAATTATAGACCACTATTCTTTTCACTCAAATAGTAATCCCTTTTCAAAGATATTAACCACTTAAAAGAGTCAAAGGACAGGAATTTGACTGTAATATGTGCACATAATTTTCTGTGTACATATTATCATCTTTGGTACAGTAAAATTTACCTTACATGGTCTGACAGACGCTGCCTCCTGAGCAACACTGCCTGATACTATCTCACCAGTTTCCTTTACTCTCTCTGTTGAAACTAACTCCCTCTTACCTCCATAATTCTGTTTACAACCTGCCACCAACATTCTCTTCTCAATCATTAATCTACTTCCCCTTCCAATATTTTTATTCATCCTATTAATAGGTTTCTCCCTCAAAAGATCTGCCACTCCTCTTAAAAATTATTGCCTTTATTGTATTTATCATGATTTTTATCAATAAAATTACACATGTTTTATATTTTAAATTTTATGCTTATAAAAATATAAAGAATAGTTTTATTTCACTTAATACAATGTTCTATAGTAGCTCAATAACATGTAATAAATGAATCCAGATTTAGCTAAAGATTTATTGATCCATTGCAAAAGCGCAATACAATAACAATGAATTGGGAGGAGGGTGCCATTATGATAAAATTTTAATCAAATTCTATTTTGAGAGATTTATTACAAAGCAGTCTTGTATGAAAGATGTGGGCCACCAATTAAATAATGAAGGAATCTGTGTTCTTAGAAACTGCAAGATTAAGATAGGTATAAATGTTTCATACAAGAATTCTTCACTCGAAATTCTATATTGAGTTAGAATTTAAGAATTCTGGGGCTGAAGTAATAGTAAATTTGGTAAGGATATTGCCTATACTTGTCCAACCCAGGTTCAATCCTTGACATCCATATGTTCCCCTGAGTACTGCCATGAGTAATTTCTGAGTGAAGAGCCATGAGTAATCCCTGAGCACCACTGGGGTGGCCCAAATTCCCACCCAAAATGTTTCTGTCTAACAAATTCTCTAGATCCTTCTTGCAGCAGTAAACTGTCTCGCTTTCCTGATTTAATTTCAAACAAATAATTTCAGTTAGAGCAATTTTAAAGAAAGACTTTTTGTGACACAAGGAAATAGTAGTCACAACTAACTATTGGGTTGATTTATATTATAAGTCTCTTGTTTGTCCTTTATTAGAGATATTTGGTATTGAATTGGCAGCTGTATTTAGGTGCCATTTGTTTTTCTGTGACTATTATAAATGGATAGGCAGATATAAAGAGATGAAATTGTTTTTGTGCTCCCACTTCAAATTCAAAAATCAGTGATTTCTGATTATGAGTCAACCTCGAGGTCCATCAATAGCTGTCATGTCCTCTGTTTTGTAATGGCTCTCCTTATTGCTCCTTTCACATCCTGGTTCCTTAGGCTATAGATCAAGGGGTTGAGCATGGGAGTGATCACAGTATAGAACACAGCAATGATCTTGCCCCCAGCCCTTGAGGACTTTGACTGAGGTCTCATGTACATGAAGATAGCAGTTCCATAGAATAAGGCCACCACTGTCAAATGGGAAGCACAGGTGGACAGTGCTTTATACCTCCCTGAGGCAGACCGCATCCTGAGCACTGATAGAAGGATTCGGGCATAAGAAATGACAATAAGAAGAAAAGGAATGAAGACAATGATGATACTGAAGATAAAAACGACCATCTCTGTGAATGAGGTATCTGTGCAAGCCAATCTCAGAACAGAAGGTACCTCACAAAAAAAGTGATTCAGGACATTGGGTCCACAGTAAGGCAAAGTCAAGGTGAGGACGTTGATAACCATAGAACTGAGGAAGCTACTGGCCCAAGAAACAGCTGCCAAATGCACACAGGTGCTTCTGTCCATAATAACAGTGTAATGGAGGGGATGGCAAATGGCTACATACCTGTCATAAGCCATGACACCCAGGAGAACACACTCAATCATACCAAAGGAGAGGGAGAAATACATCTGTGTAGCACAGCTGGAAAATGGGATGGTTTTTTTCCCCACCAAATTGTACAGCATTTGTGGGACATTAGTGGAAGTATAGCAGATATCCAGGAAGGATAAATTAGTAAGGAAGAAATACATGGGAGTTTGAAGACGAGGCTCTATCTGGATAACAGTGATAATAATAATATTCCCAGCCACCGTTAGTAAATAAAAGAACAGGAACATAATAAAAAGAATGAGCCGTGTCCTTGGCTGAGATGATAGCCCCAGGAACACAAATTCAGTCACAGTGGAATTGGGTTTTGTCATATCCATTTTTTTTCAAGCCATGTGCTTCTCAAATGACAGTGCACTCACCTGAAGATAAAAATCAAATGCCCCATATACCACAGTCCAGGGAGGGAATCTTCTTTAAAAATCAAGCTAATAATTTTGGGTTTTTTCTCATAGTGTTATATATGTTCGTAATCTTTTTAAGCCATATTTTTTTCTTTAAAGAATGACTTCATCCTAGCCTCTTAAAAAGGAGCTAGTTATGGTTTTGTCCTGTACCTGACAACAGGGCATCACATAAAATGAGCATCTCAAAAAAGAGTAAAAGGAACTGCTTCATGTGTCCTGTATGAATCTAGTACAAGAGCGGTGACTTGTTTCTTCTGAATCATCCTAGGGTAATCTTTCTGTGATAAAAAGACTTGGACATCAACAACAACAACCAAAGGAAAAACCTAAACAGTCATGGTTCACACTAAATTTGCATTCTTCTTTTTCTTCACCTTCATACCATGAGGAAATGGATGATTTCATTATGTACAAAATTAAAATGACAGAACCAAATGTCTACCATTTAAATTAAAGAATTATATAAAAAATGAGACGATATATTCATGTAACAATCTACAAACAATAATTGTGATCAATAACACTATTAAGAAAATTAATTAAATGCAGTGATATTACATAGATCTTAGATTCATTCATTAGCAAAAACGACTTTAGAGAAACATTACTGTAAATGTGCCAGACAAGTTAAAGTTGTTGGAGCTATTCATTGAGAACTCCATAATAACCACCTAGTATCCACATTTAGGTTATTCACGTGGTCATTGTGTTTTGTTGGTTGATTGTCTTCTTGCAAATTAAAAGCAGTGATTTAGAAGGAAGTGGAACAAGAGTCATGGATGAAGGCATAATTATAATAACTAGGAACTGTGTTTTTCATCTATCATTTATTCTGCTTTATTTATGATTGGTATAATTTCTTCTTTTATTTTCTTCCTTTGAAAAAATCTTTTTATTCCTTTACTTTTCAAAAATGCTTTTTTGATTATCTACCAAATTCTGAGAATACTCTTGTTCACACAACAGAGACTTATGATGATTTCTCCAAGCATAAAATTGGTGAAATGTTCTCATAAAGGAAAATAGTGATTCCTGCAAGGGTAAGAAATCTTTTTAAAGAAGGCAGTTAAGAAATAATAAATGGGAATTTGGTGGTCATTTAAAACACAGCAGTGCAAATAAAATGCAGATCATTTTAAGCTTCCTTCTATTTTGATTTATATCAGGGCATTTTAATTAAATAATCCAGTGAATCTTTAGACCACATTTTCTAGAATACAAAATCCATAGATAAAGTTAGGATGGCCAAAAATAGAGAGAAAGAAGAGAAGTCACAATCTTGCTTCAGTTTTGCAAGAAAGTCAGTGAGTTGGATAAATTACACTGTTCCTGTCCAGGTCTTCCAGACAGTGTTTAGAATGTTATACTCTAAATAAATGTTTATACAATTTTCAAGAGTGACTATAAGTATGAGAAATGACATCCCCAGTGGACTTCTCAAATCATAGCGAGATAAGACATGTCATGAATAAACATGAGTAATACTCAGATATACAGGATTAGTTACTTGAGAGTTGGAATTACCTGGTTCCATCACTTGCCAACTGAGAGGTCTTGCACAAGGTCATGCTGTCAACCCATTTCTAACTCTCCTCATGTTGGCATATCGGCAATAATAGCATCTTCATAGAGATTATAAATGAGGTAAATAAGATCATACATGCAAAGTAGCTAAAAAATAGTTGTACATTTGTATCAGTATTCAACATATCAACATTACAGATTATATATGTTACCATTAAGATTTTTGTGATTACGGCTTGGAAGCCAGCTTCACATGCTGGGGGGAAAGGCAGTTCAGATAGAGAAGGGATCACGAAGTAAAGGGTGCTTGGAGAGTCTTCTCAAGATGGGAGATGCATGCTGAAAGTAGACTATAGACCGAACATGATGGCCACTTAATACCTGCATTGCATACCACAACACCCTACAGGAGAGAGAGAGAGGAAAATGGAATGTGCCTGCCACAGAGATGGGGCGGGGGATGGGGGCAAAGATGTGGGGGGAGGGATACTGGGATACTGAGAACATTGGTGGTGGAGAACAGGCACTGGTGGAGGGATGGGTAGTCAATCATTGTATGACTGGAACATAAGCATGAAAGTTTGTAAGTCTGTAACTGTACCTCACAGTGATTCATTGAAAAAATAAAAACTAAATTTAAAAAAAAAGATTTTTGCTATCCCTGACAAGAATGAAGGACAGGAATTTCTGGTACTCCTCACCAATGCACCCCAAATGACAGATCTAAACCTTTAAGACACCAGTGAATTGACCAAAATATACTGGGAAAATACCAAATTGACAGATAGATAGATAGATAGATAGATAGATAGATAGATAGATAGATATACATACATATATGAGAGCAGTTATGACACACTCTTATGAGTCTATACCAGTAAAACCACACCAAAAATAAATTGCTTCCCTAGGAATGTATGTATATATATAATTGTGTTTCTACAAAAAGTATAAAAGTTTAGGTTTAACATCTAAATAATATTTTATAATTTGAAGACTCAATAAAATATTTCTTGACTTCTTCCAAATGACATTTTTCAAAGTACTTTTGGTCACCTTATGGTTAGAAAAAAATAAAAACTGTTCTGTAACCAGTTTCATAGTCATTCTATAAAACCATTCTGTAATCAGCTTTCCTGGTATATAGAAGTTTCTTCTCCTATAAGAACGTACAAACTCACATCTCTATCATAAAGGTAAATAAAATGAATTTAAGTTTTTATAAATAAGCATACAGAAAATGAAGCAAACCCATCAAATTCCACACATGGTTACAAAAAATCCTGAGTGTTCTGCAATCATCCATTGATTCTACTAAACATTTCAGTAGAGCAAGCCATCTTTTACTTAACTGTATCCTCTCTACTTTTCCTTATAAGGCAAAAAGTTACTGTGATCAAATCCTCCTCTAACACAAATATGTCAAACTCCAAAGCAATATTTTAAATATTAGGAATTCTTGGTGTCCCCTTTGAAACTTACACTAATTTCATTTACCAATGAGTGAGTTTTCTCTGTTAGACATAATCATCCTTTAAACTTAGAATTCTTGTACTTCTCTGTGTGAGTGTGTGATTGAAAATTTTTCAGTCTGTCTCTCCAACAAATTTTGGGTTTGTAGAGATTCTAACATGTCTATTTATGCTTTTTTCATCCCTAGCATATAATAATTTCTAATTATTTCTGATAAAACTGAAATAAGCCCTATTTCTGGTCTTCTGTGTTTTTTCTTCAGATTAAAAATAAATTCATCCGTACCTTAGCTCTGTTTTTATCCCAAGTATATAGTCATATTAATTTAATAATAGTTTCTCTCTGCTAATGCTTCATAAAGCCTTTTAATTATTTTTTTAAAAAATAAGATAAATGTGACTTGATGGTAAGAAAGTACAATGTAAAATAATTCATACTTTACCAAGGCTGACTATTTGGGGATCATATAGACTCAGTATGTCAGGAATTTTATGATGTTGAAAAATGTCTCATTTTTCTGTTCTGTAGGTTACAAGAAGACGTAGGGTATATATTTTAAACCAAGCTAGAATAGTATAGTATTCCTTTATAAATTCAGGATTTTCAAAGGTGAACTTTATAAAATTTGATTCAAATCACTTGTATAAATGACTGCACCATTTTGTGCAATATGTGATTGAATTTCGTATTTCTATACATTTTAAAAATATCAGTGATGATATCCCTTATTAAAACTTCATTTTACAAGTATATTTTCAAAGCATTATAGTGTTGAAATTAGCATCAATTCTAAAGAAAAACAGCTGAATTTTGATTTTAGCACTTGTATTTGGTCTTAATATTCTATAATACTCATTTTCATACTACAATAAGAGAGGATTATATCACTATTTAATGCAATCTTATCCTAATGATTAGTTTACCTTACTTTTATCATAGTATAGGATAAATATTCATAATTTCATAAATTATACCTAACAACAATATGTAAATTACAGGTTAATCCAACCTTGTACAGATATATTTCGGTCCTACAAGTAGAAGGACTGTTGGTTCTTTGGAAGTCCTGACAATACTGGAAATATTTGATGCAACACTGTTAAGTCATTGAGAGCTTATACAAATTCTGGCAATCCCTGTGCATGTGTAGTATTGTCAAAATTTGAGAAAACCTTTCATTCTGTATCCATTCATCAATCACAAAGTTTATTGTAAAAAATATTAATTTAAGTACTAAAAAGTTTAAAAGCAATTTAACATAAAGATAGCATCAAAGAAAACTGTTCTTCACTTAAGTTAGGAAGAACAGTAAGAAGAGCCATCAGTAAGGTCAAACATATTTTTCTAATGAATCTCTGTGGTATGAAAATTATGCTGGAAAAGGAATGATTGCAAATACACCACTTACACTGCTTCAATTGCACTATTGATCCCTTACCAGTTAGTGTGTTTCATGAACCATATTGAACAAATATTTAGGATCCGGTTTTTATAATCTATGGAGGAAATGGGAAGGAAACTATAGTGCATGTAAAGCATATTTTTAGAGACACTCAACCCCTAAAATCAAAAGAATGTTATGTTGGAAAAATATGACAATATTTAATTTTAGCTTTGATGTTTAGTAAAAGCAAAGAAACCACCTTCTCCCTCCAACCTCAGAATAAAACATTTTCTTTGAAAAGCAGTATCCAAAAATGATATTAATTGACATATAGTAAAATTCTTTATAACAAGACAATGATTCTATGTTCTTTGGTGAAAATAAACCATCTTCACAAATCCAAATAAGCATTAATTTTAAAGATGAGAAATTAATATCGGGTTATATAACTTTATCAGGGTATTTTAGAGCAATAATTTGTGATCAAGTCTGCCAACATTTCCATTAATTAGATAACTGCTGCTTTAATTTC